CGAAGATTAGGACGCGAGCTGGTCCCTATTGATCAACTCAGTTGGAATGTGCCACGCTTCCTGCGCCCAACTTATAGTGTGGGGAGATACAGTGCACGCATGAAGGCAGCGCGGGGCGCGTCTGGACGACGCCCGGGACAACTCTCCTCTTGCATCCGTCTCTGCCTCTCTTTTGTCTAAACCCTCGCTGCCATCGCAGCTATCCCTCGCCTTCCCTCAGCTACGCTCCGCACTTCCCACTGCTACTGTTCTTAGGAGTCAAGTTTGGCTCTACTGTAGCGCTTCTGAATAAGTAGCGGGTTAAATTAGCACGCACTCTGCATGAAGTCTCATTTTATGAACAAATCCCGAGAAGGCACCATCTAGAGTTTGAAACCTACTAAGACGCCAGGGAGCTCCAAGCTTCTAGGAGCTTTTCCTTTTTCTGGAAGAAAGCGACGTGAGCAACTTACTTTATGCGAGGCATTTTGTTCGCCGATGGAACGTGAAGATTAGCCTCGGAGGTGCTGCGTTTTCCCATAGAAAGCGAGTGTTGCAAAGCTACAGTGGTTGCCTGAAAAATCTCTTGTTACAGTACCTCTGCGCTACAGTATTTCTGGATTCAAGAAATTTTACCTTCATTCGCGGTGTAAGAGGTGTGGCGTTGGTTGTCGCTAAAAGTCGCTCAATGCACGCGTTCACGTCAAAGATGGAGTTCTCTGCAAAGGTTAACATTACTGCATGTTTGACAAAAGTTGGAACTCTGTTAACTGACCATCTGGTTCGGGACCGCAGTAGACAAATAGCGGGATCTTCTTGGTACCAAAGAGATAGTGTACCTTCTTGATGAGGCCCAATGCGACCAGCACATTTGCGATATCGTAGAGGCGTCGGCAGCGGCCTTCAATCAGTATATAAGTTATTTTAAGTACTCAATTCTGAACACAATTAGAGTGAAATTCCGGTTGTTTCTCTAAATTTCCTATGACTGCGAGGCAACAGTGTTACAGGGGGCCAAAAAGTCACTTTTCTTCCTTGACTTTCGAGGCGCTATAAGTTACACTTTATTAAATTCTGATCGGACATTTCTACACCATATTAAAGAGCATATCAAATACTATCATGATACTCCGCCACAGCCTTCTGGAGG